ACCCAGGACATCTGGTTTACTAGACTGATCAGGCTAAAGAGGAGTTCTCTCTAAGTGACAGATATTTTTTGATTTAATGAATAATTTCTGATAATTCATCTATATGAAGATGACATAGTGAGATAGAGACCATCTGGTGATGGGGATTTTGGAAGCAGAAAGAAAAGTTGCACAATTCTCACATAGAAATTGGTTAGAGATTAAAGCTGACTGAATACCTCACTATATTTGGTGATGTAATCAATACTGAAATGTATCCCAGAATTTCTAAACAATACAGTTTCACAAGAGATACCTCTCATTACCTATATGTAAAACAACAATAAATAAAAAGCTGTAGACACTGACCAAACAGCCATTCACTCTTTCTAATATACAAATAGATGCCTAAACCCCTACAATGTATATCCCCAAACTCCACATCAAGAACTAGGTAAGTAAAAATGATGGTAATTCCTCTTATAACAGGTTGAACTTCTAGCTTTATAAGAGGACACACAGAGATCACAGAGGCATACTGTGGCATTCACTGACCAGTATCTGTCACAAATACACTTCCGAAACCCAGATTACAAATATCCAGACAAAATATCCAGATAATCAATTTGGCAGTCAAAACAGACAATAAAGGACAATTAATTATTGATGGCTGGTTATTTACTATGCATATATATATACTTTACTCTTCTGATGGATTCTAAAGTATGGAAATATGATGTCAAGATGTCTGCTGACCGACACCGTACGATTAGTTCAGCTTTGCCTACTGTACTGACCAATCGACAATGTCTGCAGAAGAGAAAAAACACTCACCGATACATACACAATCTACACTAGATCAAACAGAAGTAATAAAGACTCCAATTAATTCACTAGTGTGATCCATATTTCTGAATAACTGTATTTGTCATAGAAAATTTGTTGCCATGACAACAGAATTCTCCAACATTTTCTTTTATAGAGACCAATTGTTCAGAGGGATGGAAGTATTAAGCAAACAGACTACTGTTATTTGCAGGTCAAGACCAGGTCTTGTAGAAATTACTTGTTCTGTCCAGTTTGTATTGAACATTTTAATTCACAAGATAGAATACAGAATTGCTTTTCCTGCTCCAGACAGATTCCTATATCCTTGTAATGTTAGCAGCATGTCCAAAGCAACCACTCTATTCTGTATGGTTAGTTTTTTTCTTTCCTTTTAATGAAAAAAATGTTCATTTTCAACAGCAGATGGCCCTATCATCAGTGTAGCATACAAAATATAGGAAGCATTTTGTTTTCAGCGGGAGAACCATTCAAGTTGTGTTAAAGTAGAGATGGATTCCAAAGCTTCCAAGACTGACCAATATTTATGCCTGATTTGACGGTTCAAATGTCACCAATCAACAGTTTAAGTCTGTCCAATATCAACACTGACTCATTTCTTTATGGCTGCATTTTCTCATTGAAAGACATATCTCCAAATTGTCCAACCGTTGATATTTTTTAATTTTCATAGCAGACACATTTCAGATCATGGACTAGATTTTTTACGCTTGATGCTAAAATATTCTAAAACTAAGAATCAAGTCAATGATTTTTACTTTGGGGACTTCTCACACATCCATCTGATGAGGGCATAGAGGACAAATTCACAGATTGGTGACAAATGGATTCATGCATGTAGAAAAAACACTGCGACTTCAATTACTAAATGGAATTCATTAGAATCTAAGACTGTTGCCAACTGTCCAGCCTTGGTTCCAAATACGGAAAGGTCAATAGAGGCTGTCTGTCATACTGGTCAGACAAAAGACTAAGGCATGTGGGAGCTGTCACCAACCTGACTGTCAATTTACATACTATCCAATTTGTTCGAAACAATCCTTATAGGGAGAATTCTGTATTTGGAAACCTGTAACTTTAACCTCTAGCTGTAAATAGTAATGTCTTGAAAGAGGATTTCAAATTGTCAGATGAAAACAGGTGGGTTAAAGTGCCAATAAACAGGAGATACATATAAGTTATGGCATTTCTTTGAATTAAAATGCTTAGAACTGGCCCATATCTATATCGGTACAAAAGGATGTTACCAATAACTGTCATAATTTTTCCTTTTTAACTTTCAAAAAATAATTACTTCTTGTCTGCTTCATTTTGTTTAGATATCCTTTGCATCATAAACCTTAGAACAGGGCTTCTTAAGATTTATTAGACAATTTTGAAATAATGATTTTACCATGTGTTACTTAAATAACAGACTTGAAATACAAATTCTGATTCTTAATGGAAAAAATCAACTGATACTATCTCTGTTAGAAGTCTATGAAAGAATGACTAACTTTGTATGTAACATTGTAAAGGATTCTTGGGAAGAAAGAAGAGTGTGCTTTTAGACAAAATATCTTTATCCCATCATTCAAATGTATATACCAAAATTTGCCGCCCCTAAATGACAGGAACTCTGACACGCAAACTGCCTGAAAGGCCAAATGACAACTGTTAGTTATAAGTCTGGGAAACAAATTAATGTTGGACATGGGGGAACAGTGATGTGACAAGGTAATGTCTCGCCAAATACCGTCACACTAGGACGTTCTGGACCAGACATAAAAAAAGTAGTCAAGCATGTTAGAACCGACATGAAGGCACCCTAACTTGTTTGCAACATGAAACGTTGCCAAAAGATCTTACATTTGATTGTTGAAGGACTCTGATATTTTTATTTTTAAAATTGTATCAACAGCTTCTTTTATGACTCTCACATCAACTTTAGGATAAGAAGAGGGGCTATTTGGGGAGGGGGTTCAGGAAAGCACTTACACCTGGTATGTCTCTACCCAGACTAAGTAGCTGTCATCATGTTAGTTAATAGCTGTTACAAAAGAACTCAAAAGTCTCTGTAATGATGTGTTCTCCAGAGATTTGTGGTATATTTTTTATATTGCATACATAGGTACTTTTGTTCTTACTTCAGGTAAATATGTTGTATGTATGTGTTATCTATCGTGAGGACAAAGAAAAATAAAGGGCAAATACTAAACTGTTTCAGATAATTTCCAGACAGATAATATTCAAGACTGATTTGAAGATTTTAATGAAGATAACTTAATTGTCAATTAACTAATTTCAAAGACGGCAACAAGTTTAAATCGATCATACCACCCCCACTTTAACATGGAAACACTCGAATAGAAAGTGCATATATACTTTAGGTTTATACGAATGCATAGACAGTCAAACAATAATCATATCCTACAATAAGCCCAGACGTGTGTCACATAAACAGCCTCAGGAGTCAGTATATAGCATATTACTAGGGGATAAAACTCATTTACAATCAATTCTATTGAATAGCAGTGAGATATGGACAGACTTACTTCGAAACATGGATTTGTTGGTGAACAGTTTACACACCTCTCTTACTTTTGTCTGGGATATGAAGATAAATTGAATTGTACTAATTCTTCAACATTATACTGACATATCAATTTTACAAAACTTTTTTGTAGTTCCTTGTTAGAAAGAGAAATTTCACTTTAAGACATATATGTTTCCAATCAAGACTTTATCCCTCGCAAATCGAAATCCTGTTCAAGACCGTGCACCAAGAAATTCTGGCACGTTTCCAAATAAAATTTCAGATAATTAGAGAATTTTAACAGTTACAACATGTCAATATAGCAAGATTGGTTTGTTTTTCAAACTGAAAACCTCCTTTTCTCCATTAGGACTTTCCTTTGTGTTTTTTTATTTGGTAAATGCAGGATGTCTTCAATGTTTTTAATCCCCATTGTCAAATGTGACCTTGAAGAAACACTTCATTATGTTAACTTCTAGTCTAACTAGGGACCCTTCCAAACTTTTACACAATTACTCTACAGTTGATTGACATACTCCTATACAATCCCTTTCAGATGGTGAACAATAAAATTTCAGTTAAAAGTGTGCTTTTGTAACCAAGCCATAAGCATATCAGCTAAATCATTAGGCCCAAAGAACATCCAATTCCATAACTGTCAACCACATAACCTTTTCACTTTGAAATAAAAATCAGGTGCTAGATAATATCCCCTAAAAGCAGAACAGAAAATATTGACTGGACATCTACACTGTGATAGTCGTGTCAAAAATGAATAAAAGCAACATTTAGTATGGAGATGGTGTTGAAAGAACAGTGCCAAATATTGTCTTCCAAGGTATTTTTTTGCCTTCAGATTCGATAATCCTAGAAAAAGGATGATGAAGCATCTGGATAGTGCTATACAGATATCACACACAGTCCAAAATTTCCATCATGTGATACCATGTAAAAATGTTGATTTTTTTTTTCACCAACATTTGCTACTGATGGAAGACTTCAGAGACGGTTTAACACTGTGTAATCAAGGTGAGTAATTCAATGTATGACAGCTACATATAATATTTTCTATTAGGCTATCTCCACCCCAACTATGCCAAGACATAAAGATTATGTAAGATGAAGGCAGGCCTTTACATACATCTACTTATTATCCCTAAGCTAATGACATTGTGAAGTAGCAATAAGCTCCATTCCTTACATTGAATCTAATTTATACCTACTATCAAAGCTCGACTAGTCCAATGCCTTACTTATAATAATAGGACCTCCTCAAATTAATGTCCGTTTTTATGGGATGTTTTTCTTTCTAAAACCTAGCCTTGATATAAGAAATATTATGGTATTATCGTCATAACGCCATTAATACAATGACATGGTATTTATTGTCATAACACTGTTAATACAATGACATGGTACCTATGATTCTGTACCCTTGGTAAATAATAGATTGGTCGATTCTTGCTATGATAGATCAGTAATCTTAATATATCAATGAATGTGATTTCTTTTTTGCCAAACTGACTTCCTTATTTACAAGGTCCTGTAAATTTCATAATCTACAGTTTTGGATCTGGTCTCCATTGGTATTCAGAGCTATCATATCTTCATCTGCAGGGATAATGATGTGAATCAGGTCCTATCATTGTAATACTTTTACCTGCGAGCTGATGATGTAAGTTTGAATGGTTGATGTTTTCCTGGTCGGAATCGTCCGATAGAGACAACTGCGACACAGCTTCCGTTCTTCGTGTGTTCTTGTTGTCCACCTCATTGGATGAGATCGAACACTGAGACCCCTGGTGATGAACGTTTAACGATGCATGACGTAACGGCCGATCCATGTCATCAAAATCACCGTCTGACCCACTCATGTAACTATACAAGCGTGACTTGTCGTTACCAAGATGACCATTACTTAGGTGGGAGTTTCCATGGTATTCATCTGTTAAGTCATGCTCATTGGGTGTCAAACCTATAGGTACAAAAACAAAGCAAACAAAATATACCAAAAAAACTCAAAGCTACAATAATGACCAAGCTGTGAGAGGTTGTAAATTAATGTCCTGAATTTCAACAATCTTTCATTTTAGAAAAAAATATATATATATATGATGTAAATATATACATTTTTACATGTAATTTGCAAAAGTTGATCTATTTCTATAAACATAAATGGTTATCTGGAAATTGCCAAGGTGATGATTTCTTTTTGATCAAGATAATTTCATAATTTTGGTGTTTGACAGAGTTTTTTTCAGCTGATAGAAAACTATTAAAATTTCTTATCACTAATCAATACGAAAACAAAAACATTAAACAGCATAGTGTTCAATCATTGAAATTCAAGGACATTTGTTTGGTAATATTACAATACACAGTGATACACAACACTCAGTGTCTCTGACAAAACTAATCAATGGGGACTGTCCTGTCATATCAACAGTCGTGACAGAGTTGTCCCTCTTGTATGCCTCTTATCTCTAAAATCTTTCACAACATGTGATAGATGGACTTTCCATTTTCATACAAAAATGGTTGAATTGGGAATTCCTATTGAAAGAATCCTAATGTTTTCATTATTATCAAATATTATGGTGATCAATATTTAGAACAACACTGAGTATTGCTTCTGTGTTCATGGGAGACAACACAAGCCTTTGTATTTAAACACAAATAGTCTGAACCTGGAAACTTTCTTTATCTTTTTCTCTTTGATTGGATTTCTGTTGGGTGAACTATATGCCACCAAATTTAAGTCCTATGTATCTAGTTTTAAAACAAACAATCGCTTCTTTCATTTAAAAAAAAAACAGAAACTATTTCCTTCTATATATTTGGTTATCAGTTATTTTCAAACTTGTTGTTGAACAATTTCTGCAGTTTTGTTGACTTACTGAAGACCATGAGTGTGTGTGCTGCAGGTACATGGTGATATGATGGTATATTATATTGAGTAGTGTTGGACGAAGAGTGCATTACACAACATATGGTGGCATATATACATATATAGTATGTATCAAAGGTTTGGTGGCATCAAAGAAGTGAGTTACATGGTTTGGTGGCATCAAGGAAGCAAGTACCTCATTTGGTGGCACCAAAGAAGTGAGTTACTGGCTTGGTGGCATCAAGGAAAAGGGTCCTTAGTTTGGTGGCACCAAAGAATTAAGTCACTTGTTTGGTGGCACCAAAGAATTAAGTCACTTGTTTGGTGGTACCAAAGAATTGATGTAACCAGATGTGATAATGTCAGTCACTCCACAACACTGGTGGTTCACAGAAGAGATTCGGTGGCTCGTTCACACTGACCTGAAGTAATGTTTGCTTGGTGGCTATTCAATGCAGCTCTATTTTCATTTTTTTTTATTAATATTTGGAATTATGTATTCAACAATATATTTGTATTCATGAAGAGGTATATTCTGATGGGAAATATTTCATGATGTTGTGATTCTGAAGGATGGAAATTAATGATGGTGTGATTCTGAAGGATGAAAATTAATGATGGTATGATTCTGATGGATGAAAATGGTGATGGCAATGAGAGGTGAATGGAATGAAGACGAAAATAGACATTGGAAGGAATAAGGAAGGGTAGTTTCTACTAATCACAGAGTTGCTGAGGGTTTGGATGTGAAGGGGAGATAAGCCAGGTTTACAGTGGAGACTAACCAAACAACATCACATGCCACACATAGCTTCAGCATATATATGTATACAACATGCAAAACAGCCAATACTCGTAAAGAAATAAAACAAAACAGCATGTCTGTCTTTATCTGCAAATTCAACACCCTTAAACCTTTTAACACTACTAAAGACAATTAATTAATCTTGGCAAAAAACTGAAGATGCTTGATTTTGAAACAGCAGAATAAATAAAAACACATGTGTATGAATCGACATCTCAAAGACGGCAAACCTTCAATCTTTAAACATTTTTTCTCAAATGAGAGATTCACCGTCTATTTATAAATACTATGAAGATAATACAATAGCTTTGTCATTGCAATACACACAAATTAAGTCAATCATTTGAAATAATCCATCAATTCTAAATTAGTAAAATTGAATATACACTTAATCATCAAACACAACATGCACTGAATAAAAAAAGATTCTTGTTTGATGAAGGTAACATTAGAAACTCACTACTATTCTAAACAGGAAGTTTAACGTTCCATGCTTTAATGAGAGATGAAAATGGGAAGTTCAACTGATTGCTAATGAGAGAATTCTAAAGACATTAGAGTCACTGTTTCTAATCTAATGACATCTATGCAGATGAAATGCTGTGGTGACTCCTAAGTTAAATGATAAGGTAAACAGGATTGATATATAGAGATTTTTAATTACACATGCTGGTGATAGAACAAGGGGAGAAAACCCTGGTACCCATCTGTTTCACAAAATATGTTCTCAAATTCATATGGCTTGTTATTTCTACAATCAATTACAAATCAACATTACATATTTTATAAAGAATACATAAGGATACCGTTTTCAAAGCCTTAAATTTATTTGGGGAAACATAACAAATTTCAAGGAATATACAATGTTTCAATAATTCTGGTCCAGCAATGGACAATAGTAGATATGGAAAAGAAAATTGAATGGCCATAGACTAATGGACATAAATCACATGATGGGGTTAGAGACTCTTAACATAAGCAAGACCAAGAAATCAATCAGACCTGAAAATGATTTGTGAATGATTTACAAATATGAAGATTTAAAACTTGTCCCCATGCAGGTATTTTCTGTTTTTTAAACAATTTGTTGATCAATGCATTTTCTTTACAAATATTAGAAAAAAATAGTGTGAAATTAACCATGAACCTTCTGTTGTTTATTGCTCAAATCAAAAACAATCACAACATTCTACTCCCTTAAGGAAATAATCAAGTCTTGCTGAATGAAATGCTTGTCTGATATATTCTACATGACGACTCCAATTCTAATAAATTACCTAACTAATGATCATGTATGCCTCTAATCACACTCGATAATGGTTCCACTTTCTTGACAGCAAACAAGAGTTATGTCCCCTGCCTAAAACAGGAAATGGAAATTCCAAATCACTAGCATAAACGACCTGGTCCAACAAATTATTGTTAGAATTAATGGATTGTTTGCATGAAACCTTCCTAAGCAGACTTGAGAAGACACTTAACAGCACACCAAGAAAAACCCTAGCTAAAGGAAAGCATCAACATCCTCTCATTGCTCCCTAAGAATGACAATTTGCAGGAATCAACAAAAATGTCAGCCTCGTGGGAGAACATAGCATGTGCAGACAAATAACACATGCTTTCTATTGTCCTGATCTAGCAGGCATGTTTATGTCAAGAAGTTCAGTAGATCTATTGCCCGGAAATTGTGAAATAGTCTTTCTCTAAGAAATTATTCACATTGAAGACGACAAGTTATTTGCGAAAAACAATGAAATGCAGATAAAAATCTGACCCAAATAAAACTTCTCTATTCAATTAGAAATAAAAAGTAACCTACGTAATGACCAGGGACTATAATTGTTAATTTGGTATTGTGTGTATGAGACTCTGGGTAGCCCTACAGTACTGCTTGGTAGGATCCCGTGTGTGCGATAGTAACCTTACTGTCGGTAAACATGTAACGCAACTTGACAATACAGCAGCTGAATCGGCTCCATTCCTATAAACAATGGTGATAAGGATCAGTAATATTTGAGGCATTTCTGTTTTATTCTCCTTCTCCAGGTCTACAGGGGAGATCGCAAGCCCATACCATCACACAACCCAACACAAACAGTGCAATTGGCATCCATGACAAGCACTCGTAAATGCGGCTTCTCTGTTTACAGTCAAACTACCCAAGTCCCGGAGAGACCTTCCCACATTTGTTCATTACAACAACCATTCAAACCTGCTTGTCTTGCCTTTCTTACAGAAAATATAAAACTAGAAACATATCATATTCCCATAACCAGTTTAAGAACTAAATTAGTCCAGCTATCTTGGGTATAAATCCACCATCACACAAACCAACACTAAAACCAGCCCACTTTCTCATTACGATAACAGCCTAATGTAAAGTTCAGGCTATAATGTAACCCACAGTAACCGTCTACTGTCATCATAGTCTCTTTTATATCACCTTATTAGAGACAGTCATTAAGTGTATAATACTGAAATAGGTCTTCTCAAAATGGCAGGAAGAGATTACCTGTTTATAAAAGGTTATCAACAGACATAGACACATCTATACAGCATTGTGACGTACGGTAAATATGCTAAATACTGAAACTTTCATCTGTATCAGAATAAGCCATGTTACCAGGATGCTCAACATACAGAGATTATCAATGTTACTAGGATGCTTAACAGAGAGTCCATGTCACTAGGATGCTCAACTTACAGAGATAATCCATGTCACTAGGATGCTCAATATACTAATCCATGTCATTAGGATGCTCTGTATACAGAGTCCATGTCACTAGGATGCTCAACATACATACTTAATCCATGTCATTTGTATTGCTTATAGACCAGGATGACCGTGTAGTTTTAACACAATTATTTACCAGAGGTATGACTTTCTTTATCATGATAAATTGTGGGAATGGGATGAATGGCAAATGGAGACTGAAATGATATCAAGATTGAAAAAGAATAGAAAGGAAGAAGATGAAAAAGTGAAGGGAATTGAGGAGGATAAGGAAATAATTAAAGATAAGGCTTGTGTGAAAAGAAGGAATGAAGACAATAAACCAGTCGAAGAGACTGAAATAAAATAAACTCATGAAACAGATTTCATGTAGAAGAAAAGAGGGAAGAGTTGTTGACAGCAAGGAAATTTTTTAATGAAAAAAAAGGAAGGAAAACATCGACATTCCATTGAAGAAAACCATTCTTTTTAGTTGATGACTTTATAGCCAGTCTGATTAGGAGTGTGAGTGATGGCAGAGTCCTATAAAATGAACACTCAAACTTCTAG